TGGACACCACTTTGCAGCAGGGCCTGAGCTGGCACTTCTCCCCTGCGCCCCCCAGGGAGGGCCCAGGACATCCTGGAGCTCACCTCCTCCAGTGGCAGCTCCCTGAGCAGTGGCAGCGAGCTGGTGAGCAGCCCGATGAGGAAGGGGGTGGGCGAGCACACGATGTCGATCATGGCGGGCGGCAGCACAGGGATGTAGGTGTGCTGCCAGGTGAAGGGGTAGATGACTGCCACCATCGCATGGCAGCACTTGGACAGCGTGCTGCAGTGGGGAGAGAAGGGGGGAGGGCTGCTTCAGGGAGGGTGTGGGGAACCAGCCCCAAGGCATGCTGGGCAGAAAAGGCATCACGCGCGTTTTAGGTGTATCAGGGTTCACAGTACCAACCCAGGCACACATCAGGCATACAGGGCGTCTGTGACGCTTTGAGATACAGCTACAGCAACGAATATAAAGCCCTAGCTAATCTGTGCTAGTGTGCCTTCACACATGAGCTACATTCTTGTAAGGCTTCAACCAAATCTTTCACTCCCATCCCTTTACCCCATGCTCTTGCCCCCCAAAACCACTACAGCCTCATTTGTCATGGATGCTCATTCTCTTACTGAAGATGCTTATATTCTAACATTGTAGCTTTTCCTTTGTTCTCTCCCGCAAGTTCTCCCAGCCAAGTACAAACGCCTCGGTGTAATCAGGGAAGACAGGGTAGTCCCTTTGGTACCCTGCTGCACACAAGGGAAACTCCTGAACAGTTAAACCTTACCCAGGATTCAAAACTTCAAAAAATAACAAAGTGGTGAGTCTAATCCTAATGAAAAATAATTATAGCGTAGCCTTTATTTGATCACTACCCCCAGTGCTTTGCCTGGGTTCAGCTCAGTTTGCTGGGTGAACGGGTGGCGTATCCGAGACCGTCACCGTGAGCACTGGCCCCACTGCGCTGCAGGACAGCGACGGCTGGCGGCCTTCCCAGGGAGCGAGGGTCGACTTTCTCTTCCTCCTTGCAGTCATTTCTCATGGCTCGGGAGCCTGCTCATGGCAGCTCCTCCCTCCGCTCACTCTAACCTGCTGCTTCTAAAAGCTATGCGTGGGGTAGGGAGCTTGAGAAGCTGGTTAGAAGTATGGGTAATGTAAGGATAAGGCAGACGTGTGGGCCAGTGGGTTCCCAGAGTGTACTGTGTCCTCTTAGGGCACGGGCTCCCACCCAGCATTTCATGTGTTACACTGCCTTTGGAATGCCAGCCCTGGTTCTAAGCTGGACTCTGTTTAGGGAAAGTTGCAAGGAAGCTTAGTTCTGGATGGAGGAATGCTCCTTTTCTGGACATGATATCAGGCACCTACAATTTCATTATCATAAAACTTTCCTGAGTCCATTTAGAAAAAAAATCACTTAGCCCTGGCTTACTTAGGGAGAAAAGAAGTGGAATAAAAGATACCGGCTAGCAAGTGAAATAAGCCAGACAGAAGAAGACAAATATTGTATGGTTCCCCCTACGTGAGGGATTTAGAATAGGCAAATTATTAAGACCTAGTAAAACAGAGGTTCCTAGGGCCTGGGGGAGAGGGAGAATGGGGTCTTGTTGCTAAATGCGTAGAGCTAAGTTTGAGATGATGGAAAGCTTTGAGAATGGATAGTGGTGATGGTTCCAAACACTGTGCAGGGAGGGGGTGGAGGCAGGCAGACAGCAATGGTTGAGATGGACTTTTGATGTTACATGTTTTACTGCTGGCTTTCATTTCCAAGTGACTAGAGGGAGTCAATTAAGAGAAATACTGAGAAGGGACTCCCTGAATGAGGCCTTGTGTCTGAAACCCATTCCTTTATAGCACAGTTGCTGTTACATTCCTAAATATGACTTGGAGAACAGGTGGTGGACACTGGCATCTACTGTCCACTCCAGCCATCTTTGAAACTCTCACTTTAATCAGCTAATGAACTAAGAATGCTGTACTCATGCTGACGAGTCCTCTCACCTTTCAGAGCTGTGCTTTAAGCATTTTTAGCTTCAGGGAAGGGACAGGATCACAGAATGTTAGACCTGCAAGAGACCTCAGAGACAGAGTTCATCTTCTTTGGGATTTCATAGCTAAGGAGACTGAGGCTAAAGGAGATCAAGGTAACCTCTAAATTCAGGGAGGGGTCACGGCAGGGAGAGAAGAGGCCTGTGGACTGGAGGAGGCACAGTGAGAAGCCTTTGTGTTTTTCTCAATCACTGCAATAGAAAAAGCAATCTGTTGAACTTTTTCTTCCCAACTCAAAGAAAAGGCCACCAATATTCTAAAAAAAATTCTGCCTCTTCGAACAGTAGAAGGAAAGGTCAAATTCTGCAAATAATACAGTTAGTGGCAGCTCTTTGCCCAAAATAAATCATAGAGGAGAAAAGAAGGGATTATTTTCAGTGTAATTTAAGTGCTTTTCCCAATCTCTGCTGCAAGTGCTAATGATTTTTCATTCCTGACTCATGAAGGCTGCAGGAGCCTTCCATGTGGGGTGGAAGGGCAGGCACTGTTAGAATTGATGGTTTATTAAGAAAATGTAAAGAATAGTCTATGGTTCTGGGAATGCTAAGGATGGCTCCACAAGTCAGCTTGCCACATAGCCTTACTAAGAGTCTGCTGGTTGCAGGAGAGGGCAGTGTTTTTGAAGGAAGTCTTAGGCGGAGAGCTCTCACAGCTGGCTCGAATTATAGTGGGGGTGGAGGAAAGGAATACCAGCCCACAGCTGTGATCAATTTGTACAAAAGTAGGGAGGCGATGCCCCAGTGGGAGGCTGGCTGGGCCATGGGGTGGGGGGAGTTAAAAGATGGGCACAGGTGAGAAGGGTCGGGTCCCAGAATGCTTTGCTATTTGGTGGAGGTTCCTGAAGGTTGAAGTCTTAGTCCAGAGACAGCAGGATGCACTTGTGAGGGCTGGAGTTTTCCTGGGCAAGAAACTTGCTACCAAGCCCCTGTGCTGTACATGGAGTTACTATGCTCAGCAGCCTTCCAACTCATCTAGGGGTCAGAAAAGATGGACCATAAGATGCTACCAGAAAAGTAAATGATGAGTTTCCTGAGTGAGCCTGACACCCCAGGAATTTGAAGATCACCTCTCCTACTGGTACATCAGCCCCAGGAACATAAGCAAAAGGCAAACTCTGGCCTAGTCTGGTGGCTGGTGAGACCTGGTGGGGGGTGGGTGTCACCATGCAGTGCCTGACATATTCCCTTTACTTTCAAACCCTGAAGTAATGTGTCACTGGGTTTAAAAGAAAACAGGCTGGGCCTCAGATTCCTCATCTATTAAATAAGTATAATTTTTTAGTGTCTTTGACATCTACCAACTGAATTTATAAGAAAAAAGAGGAAGCCAGGAGCTGGAAATAGCTGGAAATCAAAAAGAATGAAGCTGGAAATTGTCACCCGCAGGTAATTCTAGGGCTCATTAATAGGGACAGGATAAAAGAGCAAATGGTGACATCTCACTCTGAGAAACAAATAGGTAAAAGTATTGGAGAGGTTTTGAGCCACTGCAGCGAGCCCTCAAAAGACTGCCTCACACAGCAAGCACAGCCTGGGAGGGATCTGGCCCCTCCAGAAGAACTGGGGTAGGTTTCAGCCCAAGAATCTGTAAGCAATGAATTTGGAGTGGAAGGCAATAATTTGTGGCTATGCTACTTTCTACATCTTGCTCCAGATGGTATCTTCTTGGTATTCTGATGCAAAAATAGGTAGTTCGTACTGAATATTTCACCTGGCTGATGCCATAATGTTATGAAAACTGCATTTGCAGAGGATTTTGCTGAATTCAATGTCTGCATCTCTAAGACCTCCAGCCACCCTGAGGATCTCCGAAGTAGTACTTTGGACGGCCATCTGCCCCGGTGGCAGCTGCTAACACTTTCAGCTGGGCCTTGGGCAAGCTCATCTGCCTGGAGAGGGCACGCTCGCTGATGGAGCCTTTCTCTGAGATGGCAAACATTGCTGAGCATGCCCGGTTCTTGTCCGGGTTCGGACCCCCTATGGAAACTGATAAAAAAAAAGGGGGGGGGGGTTTGCAAAAGTAGCTCACAGAGGAGGAAGGTGCACAGCTCCAGATGAACTTATCTGTGTTACTGTGGATAAAGTGAGGGTTCCTATGGCCAGGATTCTCACTCACCCTGGTCAGCTAGCTCACTACACATGTGTGGGCAATACGTTGTTACTGACTCTTTAAAGAGCTCTGCCCAGTGCTTTGGGTGACGCAGTGGCATGGCCACCCGGCTGCTGCACGGCTGCAGGAGAGCAGAGACTGGAGTGGTGGCAGCGCCGAGGACAGAAACTGAGACGGCTGTGGGGGCAGAGAGGCCCAGAGGCAGAGACTGGCCTGCTGCACGCAGACTCGCTCTGAGTGGACGGGATTCTAGTGATTGACCTGCCACCATGGGAATAAAGTTGGATAAAAACTCTTTCACCCCGAGAATATTCTGTTGTCATTTTTTGGTCTCATTGAATCCATAGTGAATTTGCCTGGGGCTGAAACCCATTGGCAAGACAGTTACCCATGTGTCAAAGCCAAGGTTCAAACTCTAGTATTTGTCAAGATTTGACCACTTAATCCTACTTATCAGCCAGTAGCCTGTCGTTCAGCTTATGGTCTTAGCGCACTACAAAAAGATAAAAATTACATTTCTTGAATATTAAAAACTTTGTCCATATAAAACTTTTATACCAATTATGGGCAGGTCTGATTTGATCATTCAGCCTGGTCTATAGATTTAGCCAACACTTTGGCAATTGAAATTAAACCAAAAAACAAAATGATTATCATCAAGGAAATGAAGAAAGGGGTATAGGGAAATATTTATTTGGGTTGTCATGACGACAGAACAAGCTGTCACAACAACATTCTTTCTCTTCCATCTGTCAAACTTTGGCTTGACAGAGCCTACAGAAACACTCAATGTCCACCCTAAAGATGAAACGGAGCAAAATGTTATTCTAAGTTTGATGGATTTTTGGCTCAACTTAAAACCTTTTATAACTCATACAATATTTGCCGCAACTCCCTGCTATTTCCTCTTGCAGTAGTCAGCGACTATAGGCCCGAAGCAGGCTAATGTCCACCCTGGGCTGTCACAGGACCACGCACTGACCCTGCACACGTCCTGCTCTCACGTGTTCTGTGGTCTCACAAAGACTGGGAAAACAGATGGAAGTCAGGATGGTGGGGCTTGCTTCCACTAACAGCTGCACGGGGCTAGAAATCGGTCCTGTGCCGGGGCAGGGATGGGGTCGGGGAGGTGCTGGGTCGGTGAGGAGGAGGAGGATGCTGGCTGGAACTTGTGTTGATGGCTTCCTTCAGACTTCCAGGCCGGACAACTTGCAGCCAGCTACTGCCCCCCAAGACCTGGTCTGTCATGGCCTGGCCAAAGAACCCTTCAGTTCCCTGTGGTTATTTTCCATCAGCCAGATAGAACCAGGTGGACGCTGATGCCCCGGGTGGAACACCCAGTAGGCAGAGCAGGCTGGAAGAGAGGAGGTGTCTGGCTTTCTCACTCAGGAACTTTACACACACCATGTTCTTTGCTGGAGTTTCTGCGCTTTGACCATTTGCTAAGTCACTTTCTGGCAAGTGAGTCAGACTCCCCCATCCTGGCTTACTCCACTTTTAGTGGAGGGGGCACAACTGAGGGTCAGAGAGACCCAAAGGAAGGCTGAACTGAGGCCTCCAGGAGCAGGCAGTTAAAGCCATGAGAGGAGGCACAGGAGGTGCCCCACTTCCGTCCACAGTCTAGAGCAGAGGCCTGGGAATCCTGTGACGGGGGACCCACAGCATGGCACGCATCTATCCTTAATGCCAACTAGGTGAAGAGGAACATTAAATGGGCACTCACAGTCACCTCAGCATCTCTCCACAATCAGTCTAAGGCAGGCAGCAGCTGCAGGGCTGCATTCGCCAGGTGATTTCCACTGAGTCAGATACCCTGGGAGAGGAGTGAGCATCGTAGGGTGGGGTGGGGCTTGAGTGCTGACTTGGCCACAGCAGCATGGTACAGAATGGAATAGCATCTGAGCCGCGGGGGTCCTGCAGGGCTTACACAGCCCACCCCCCCATCTCATAGCTGCGCAGATGAGGTGGTTGCCTCTGGGACACTTTGGAAGGCACAGGATGCCTGATGGGATGAGTTCTGCATCAGGAATGGGAGCATAACAGGTTCTGGGCCGGGGTGGCCGGGAGGGTGGGCACCAAGGAGCCCAGTCCCAGGAGTCCCAGAGCACCGGCCCATGGAGTCAGAGACCTCCGAGCTGGAGAGACTCCGGGGCGTGCCCAGTCCACCTGCCTCACTGGGGCCCCAGCTGGGCTGTGAGGGAGGGGGGGCCCTGGGAGAGGAGTACAGACGTCTTAGCTTTTCAGGACCCAATTTTGGCCTGACTGCCAAGCACAAAGGAGGTCCTAATGGCATGTTTAAAAAAAGACTTTCCTTATATATTTCTGTAGATAGGGTCACAGGCACTGCCTCCACTCCACCCCCAGACCACTGCAGCCTCGGATTTTCTCTGGAGCCAGAGAAAACGGAGCCCTCATATGAATCCAAGCTCTCCCATTAACCGCTTCTTTGAGCAAAGTGACTTAACCTCTGTGTGCTTTTTTGTTCCCTAATAACAGAGCCTATCCGATTGACTTGTCAAGAGCCTGAAAGAATACCAGTCAAACCCTTCGGAGAGCCTGGGCCGGAGGCCGCCTTCCAGCGATCCTGCTCCAGCGTTGTTATTCTCATCAGATTCGCTCACACTTTATTTTCTTCTTTTCCTACCTTAGGGCTCTATGGGCCTTTATTTATTTAATTTTCCACCTCTTCAGGGCTGCATGGAACTAGTAGTGGATGGGAAAGGCAGTTTCTTGGGCAAGAGAAAACGATTTGAGCTGTTTCTAACAGGAAAAGCACAGGCTGCCTTTGTGGACGAGACAGCAGAGCCCTACCAGGTTAGAGCTACAAGGGGCCTGGTGCACAAATGAGGAAACCCAGAGCCAGCAGCTGAGGATGTTCAGGCTTCCTGCCCCTTTCCCCATGTGATGAGAGGTGCATGTGTAAGTCTGAAAGCTGTAAAGGGTCTGAAAACATAATCAAGGTATTTTATACACGCACCACACACACACCAATTACTGCACTCTGTCCTGGCTCTGCACCCTAGGAGGGCACCCGAACTATCCCTGACCCTGCTGTCCCCTCCCCTACAAAAACCCCATCTCCTCAGCACCGCATTATCTGGCAGCTGCTGCAGAAGAAAACACCCAGCGGGCAATATGTGCCCGAGAGGCCTGCAGCAGCCACAGCTGGCGTTCTACCCCTCTCGTGGGTGTTTGCTGTTCGAAGAGAATAAACCTCTGCGGGCAGAATGCAGTGACCAGGGAAGGTGGGGTGAGAAGAGAAACCCCACAGCCCCTCCTATCAGACCGCATGGGTGACCCGTCGCCTCCACAAAGCTGCCCCAGAGCAGGAGGGGGCGGCTGGGTGGGCTCCACTCACCGGGACGGGCCCTTTATCTGCCTCATTACCGCAGCTCTGTGCAAGGGGCGGTCCCAGCCCCCATCCTGTCAACCCAGAAATCTTTAGGGGAGGAGGGAGAGGTGGCCACACCCCCTGGCAGACGCCTCTGTGGTAAGCACCCAGATGTGCCCTGAGCCTCTGACACCCCCTCTGCCACCCCCCAGCGTGTGTTTGATGCGCCCTCCCTTTCTGTCCCCACCATCTCCTTCATTGTCCTTCAGTAAGAGAAACAGATGATGCTCACTGTTCTTCTCCCCGGAGGAATCCTGGGTGGGCACTGCCCCTGCCTGGCCGGCTCTCCTGCCACACCCATCCGCTCAGACTGATTTTCAGGCTGGACCCCCCCAGAGTCTGACATCTTTAACCGCAAAGCGAGCTCTTTGGGACGGACTGCCCTCATCGTCATGCCTGGTGGGCTCTCGGTGCACCCACCGGCCCTCACTTCCGGCCAAGGGTCTCTGGGGTCCACCACTGGCGCCTCCGCCCACGGCAAGGCTGAGAATTCTGCAACTAGAAGACATGGGGGATGGGGCGGGGCTCCTTGAAAACAGTTACTAGAGTGCTGGTGAAATCTGATCCTGGTCACCGAAAGGTTATTACTCATCCTCACTTCCAGGGCCCCAGCCTTGAGAACGCTTCTCAGCTGAATTCCCCAGTGCCCAGGAAGCGTGGCGAGCTGCTCAGCGCCAGCTGCAGGCTTAGACACGGGGCCTGCCTCCTGAGCCGACACAGGACAGGTGCAGAGGGAGTGCGGCAGCTCTGGCAGTGAAAGCAAAGACCTAACTCACACCCAGGGCGGCAGCACGCTGGGACAGCCAAGGGGCTGCCGTCCAAAGGGGAGCATCACCAGGTGACCAGATGGCCGCAGGGGGAGGACAGGGCCGGCCTCCACTTCCTGCCACGCTCCTGACGGACTCCACGTTCACATTTTGTCCTTTCCATTCTTCCTTCCCTTTTCTTCTTCCCCACTTTTGTTTTCCAGAGTCGAGAGTCAGATTTCCTCTCCAAACCACAGTTCTTCGATTTTTGGGTTTTTGGCATTTTTTTCTTTCCAGACGGACTTCTCAGTTGGCCCCATTGGCTTTTCCTGGTTCTATCTGTGGCCGGGCCCCACACCCCAGCCCTTCCTGCGTTTACAGCCACCACTCAGGCTGCTGTGCCCTTGGTTACAAAGCAAAGAAGGCTTGGATTAAGTATTCTGAAATGATGAAAATGCCAGGAATTATTATTTTTTTTTAAGCTCACAATAAACTCAAATGCCCATGTACATCTCCCTCCAGGTTGTCTTCGATCTGTGACATGGGCTTTGTAAATCACTGAATGTGACCATCAGGATGTGGGGGGCAGCCTACTGGGCAATGGGTGTGCGGGTAGGATTCTGCATGACTTGTTTTAATACTGAGAAGAAGGGATGCCTTTAAGCCGCATCTCAGACGACTCTGCAGCCCTTCTGGGAGCTGGGTCCTGTCCACCTCTGCCTGCTCCTTGCTTTCTACCCCACTTTCCTCTCTCTACTCAGCCAGGCGGACTGCTCTGCCGCTCCTGGCGGTGACGTCTCAGCCTCGCCTGTCTCCTTGCCTTTGTGGAAGGCTCCTTCTGCCTAGAAGTGCTTTCCTGTTGCTCTTAGTCTTCAGACTCAGCTGGAACTTGTCTCCCCTGGGAATGAATGTTCTCCCTGACCTGCCTCTCATAGCCTTTATGACCTGGTACTGGGGGGTCTGTTTACTTCTCCCTTCCCCACACTGGGCTGCAACTCTTTGAGGACAGCTCTGCTCTCTTGCCTCTGTTTCCCCAGCACACAGCAGAGTGGCCAGCACATAGCAGGGTGAGTGAAAGAAGGCCTAGTACTAGATGAGTGTGCCCAGAAGTGCAGGCTTACCTCATTTTACACAACCGGTATGCCTACAAACTTCTAATCTTGGTCGTTCACTGACTCACACTCTTACCCCAAAGGAGCTTCCTCTGCAATCCTAAGCAATCACCTGCCCTACAGACTCTGAAACTGACTGTCATTCAAACATTTTAGCACAAGTAGCCAAGGTTGGTACCTGAGCTTGTCTGCAATGAAGATGACTCTCCTTTCCAGAAGCAGGGAGGCAAATACACACAGCAGGTGGCGGACACTGAGAGAGGAGAAGAGAGACTCGAAGTCCACGTGTTCGAGCCGGGAATCCAGTGGGCGGCACAGTTCAATCACCTGCCAGGGAACAGGAGTCGGCATGAGGCAGGGCCTGGCCTGCTCAGCCAGGCCTCTCACGTGTGCCGCAGGCCTGGGGCTCAAAGGTCCTCAGCAGGGGTGACCAACTAGCAGGGGTGACCAACTAGGAGGGGTGACCAACCAGCAGGGGAAAGGGGAAAGAAAAAAAAAGGAAAACAAAAGAAATTGGGGAAAAGAAAGATCCCAGGAGGCAGGGAAGGAGGCACATTTGATAGGGACTCAGTCTCGTAACTGAGTGTGAGGTGAGCTCAGGAGGCTGGGGAGGAGGATGGCAGAGTCAACAGCCTTTGGCTTGAAATGGCTGGAGGCTGTCCCTGGCAATGACACATATGGACCCCTACAGGGGCTGCTGTGCCTACTGATGTCTTATCCATCACACCCCACGGGAAGGCATCTTGGCCTCACAGGGAAGTATCACCAGCTGGAATGAGTCACAGGCTCACAGAGAAGGACCAGCAGCTCCAAGCAGCACTTTCCAGACTCACCTTCTCTAGGCGTTTCCTAGTGAAACCAACTCCATCCCAGGCCCTTCCTGACAAGGCGTCTCTCTGCTTGGGTGCTTAGTGGGCACCTCTTCTCATTCTGTATTTGTTGGAATGTTACTGAATTCATCTCAAGTTGCTACTCCTGTGTATGCTTCTCTCTTTAAATAGCTAACTCCTCCATGGTGAGCCAGGCCTGGGTTTCACTCAGCATAGCACCTGCCAGGTGCTGCCTGCACAGCGGGGCTAACGAACGTTAACCTCCCTGTGGCCCAGCCACCAGCACATATGGGATGGTTAAGCTTCTCCCTAACAGGGAGACTGCTCCTGACTGTGCTGGGAAATTGCCTTGTTCCAGGATGTCCCAGACTCATACTCATCCCTTCCGTCTCCAGAGGTGATCTTTCCTGAGGGCCTTTGGAACTGGAGACTCGAGGCTGAATGGGATCCGCCTTCTGATGTCCACTGAACCATGTAAAGGCAATGGGAAAGACTGCCTGCATCAAATCCCAGCCCAGCCACGTAAAGGGTGAACAAAAAATTGTACCTGAGCTTGTCTTCCCTGAAAAGAATCTGTTTCACATTATGAATTTATAGAGATGATGCAGATTATAAATGTAAAGATATTCAAATGCAGTTACAAATGTAATGGGCTTTATGAAAGAAGCTAAGGATGCTCAGCGCGGGTCCCTAACCTATGAGGCCAATGTCATGCAAAGAAACACCATGGGTGCCGTGGCAGAGCTATGCAAGCTGCTCTCTGGGACTGAATGCTGGGGCTGATGCATGGGACCCAGGCTGGAATTTCTGATGCTCAAGGAGCAAGAGGCCATCGCCGAATGTGAGAGCCCCCTGAGACCAGCGCCTCGGACCATGGCGATTTAGCTGACTGGGTCGCTCCTTCCCTTAGGAGAGGAGAGGAAGCTGATGGCTCACCTCAGTTCCTGATCCTGGCAAGAAGTTCTTGACAATGATGGTTTTACCCAGGGCTGGGAAAGGGGCTTCCATGACACTCCTCATGAGGGGCTGTACCAGGGCTGGAGAGATGCCTCGCCGTTTTTCCACCTCATCCAAGATCTGCAAAGGTCAGAAAAGCAGCTCAGCTATCCCAAGGTCGGGGCACCAAGGCATTGCTGTGTTCTGGATGAAGTGGGCCTGCCATAGTGACTGAAGAATTCTGGGGAAGCCCTGCCGTCCTCATCAGGTCAGGCTGTCCTCTTTCACCCCATGTGTTACTGCCCCAGTGTTCCTCCTCTGTGTGTCTATTCCTTTGCCTTGTGACTTTGCAATTCTTCCCACTAAAGGGGTAAAGTATAGTTCCTTGGCCCCCTGAACTCTTGAGTTTGGCCATGTCACTTATTGGGCCAATGTATGCATTCTCAGTGGGAGCAATATTGCCCTCAGGGGGTAAAAATTGATTCTTGGTGGTGGTAAAAAAACTTATAATGGTTTGTAGCCTTCTAAAGGGCCATAGTACACAGATATATGGTGCATCTGTGAAATTAAAATTTCTCTGGGGATGGCCATTGGGGAAATGCAAACCCAAACCACAAATGATACCACTACTTCAAATCCCTGAGGACGGCTATAATAAAAAGACAGATAATAACAAGTGTTGGTGAGGAAGTGGAGGAATTGCAACCCTCATACACTGCTGGAAATGTAAAGTAGTGAAACCCCTTTGCAAAACAATCTGGCATTCCTTAAAAAGTTAAATATAGAGTTACCATATGACTCAGCAATTCTACTTCTAGATATTTACCCAAAAGAAATGAAAACACACATTCACACAAAAACTAGTACATTAATGTTCATAGCAGCATTATTAATAATAGCCAAAAAGAGGAAACAACCTAAATGTCCATCAACTGATGAATGGATAGATACAATATGATATTCATGTAGTAGAATATTATTCAGCCATAAAAAGGAATGAAGTACTGATATATTCCACAACATGGATGAACCTAGAAAACACTATGCTAAGTGAGATAAGCCAGTCACAAAAGGCCACATACTGTATGATTCCTTTCGGATGGTATGTCCAGAATAGGCAAGTCCATAGAGACAGAAAGTAGTCTGGAGGTTGCCTAGGGTTGGGAAGTGACTACTAATGGATATAGGGTTTCTTGTTAGGGTAACGAAATGTCCTGAAGTTGTAAGGATGATTACACAACTCTGAATATGCTAAAACCCAAAGACTTATATATTATAAATGGGTTAATTGTATGGTTTGCAAATTATGTCTCAACCAACTCTGCTTAGAAAAAATCCAAACACAAGAACCCCCCACAATCTCGTAAATCAAATAATTGAAATAAAAATACCACTTATTAATATCATATATAGCTGAGTTCCAGAAATATGGCCAGCCTGAATTGAGATGTGTTATCAGTACAAAATATACAGATTTTAAAATACAAAATTAAGAATCTAAAATATCAATGGCTTTTCATATTGACTACATGTTGAATTGATAGATGGGTTAAGGAAAATTTATTATTACAATTAAAAAGTATGGTAGTTCCTCAAAAAATTAAGCATATGAATTACCATATTACTCTCTAATCCCACCATTATAGATATATACCCCAAAGAATTGAAAGCAGGGACTCAAATAGATATTTGTACACCCACACATAGAAGCATTAACTCAAAATAGCAAAAAGATTGGAAACAACCCAATGTCCATCAATGGATAGAGATAAACAATATGGTGTATACAATGGAATATTATTCAGCCTTAAAAAGGAAAGAAATTCTGACATATATTCCAACATGGATGAACCCTGAGGACAAATACTAAGTGATATAAGGCAGTCACAAAAGGACAAATACTGTATTGTCCCATGTACATGAGATCCTAAAATAGACATGAATGTGGTTGCTCAAGGCTGCAGGAGGATGAAATGGGGAGTTAGCACTAAATGGGTGCAGAGTTTCAGCTGGGGATGGTGAAAAAGCTCTGGAAATGGATGCTGGTGATGGCTGCACAACAATATGAATGAACACAGTACCAATCAACTATACAATTAAAAATGGCTAAAATGGTAAATTGTATGTTACATGTTTAGCCCAATAAAAATAAAAGAATATGACAAAAAATTAAAAAGAATTTCATGGGGGGAAGCCATTAAGGGAAAAAGTTATCTAAAAAGGCTGTATTAGGAAGCAATAAAGAGGGTGAGGAACACTGAGGCAGAAGCGCTAGCATGCCGGCTCTGAGCCCAGACCTTAGGAGGCCTGCCTTTTGTGTTGCCCTCGCCCTCTCACGCCTCTGCCACAGCCACGAGAAGGGCACACACGGGCCAGCTCTCTGTCCAAGGAGGAAGACGGATGTGGGCCAGCCCGGCCGGACATGCAGCCTAAAGCAGAGACCAGTCAGCCCAGATGGGCGCACCACCAGCCTACTTGCGACATGTGAGGGAGCCCATTGGAGGAGAGCAGAGCACAGTCCCCGCCGACCTTCCTGGCTGTGGGAACAAACGGCTGCTGCTTTAAGCCACATAGCATCATGGCAGCAATAGTCAGTGATACACCTTTTTTCAGAGATTCTTATCCATGATCCCTCTTTCTGTACTAAAGGATGACTTGCCATTTTAGTCATCCTTGTCTCTTACCATCTGGAAATAGTTTGGATTCTGGGGATCAGTCAGCTGAAGCTCTGTTTCCGGCTCTGTCCTGAGAATCTGCTGCATGGTCCTGGGCAACTCATCCCAGTACACTCATGAAGTAGCCACGGCTGGTCACAAAACTGCCGTGGAAACACAGGGCTGAGCATCTCCTAAGTATGCTACTGTGTCTACGTGCTCCACACCCACGGCCAGGACGAAACAATGAGGTTTATGTGACCCCAGAGCCGCCGCTAGGCTAACCCCCAGAAGCTGCTTCACTCCCACCTCACAGAAGCACTCCCACAGCCGAGGCTGTGCCCTACAGCCTCAGTCCCACGTTCAAGCAAACCCGTGGGGAAGACTGGCAGGGGCAGCACTGCCTCCTGGTGCTGGAGCTTGTAACCCACCAACTGTAATGTGAGATGATCGCCACCCGGGTCGGGTGGGCAGGACCACATCTCAGCTACATTGATAACATTAATTATTTCACGCAGACTTACATAGAAGTACAAGTCCTACTACGGCCAGAGGTTACACTAGATCAGTATAATTCAGGCTTCCTCCGGGTTCAGGTGGAAGGTGGACAGGAGGTAGATTTATTTCGGGAAGATTTTAGGAAGTGCTGCTTTACATCTATGGGGAATAGATATAAGGCTTCAATTCTTTAAAAGAAAGCTCAGATTGAAGTATATGCTCAAGAAGCGTTTTAAATAAATTTATGGATTATATACTCATATCTGGTTAATATAGGAAATAAATGTTGGATTATTTATAATTTTTGAGACTAGCATCATTTAGGATAGTAACTATCTCCTATACACCAATCCAGAATAGTGGGTGAGCAGATTCAACATGGCGATTCCTAGGTCTCGATATATTGGCTCATTTTCCCAAAAAGAAGAACAAATTATATTAACATTTTGATGGACGTAGAGCACTATTATAATAAATCTCACACAGACACACATATACAACACACATATATACATAAATGCCCATCCATCACAGAGGCCTTTTTTGTCATGCAAAAGCTAATGTCATGTGAAAGCCAATGCTTTGAAGGAGGAAAGTAAGACACATGGAATGTTCTGGGAAAATCCTCTGCCCTCCCCTCCTCAGCTGCAATCACTCTGACCCTCTTACCTCCCCCATCTTCCAGGCCCTGACCCTCACCCTGAGGCTCTTACTTGCAGTGCCAGCGATAAGAGGATAAAGGAGGTGGTGAAGGAAGGCGGTTTAGATGCAGATCTAATCACAAAGTCTCCAGTGGGGGTCTCCTGTGTCCCCTGGGCCGCCCCGCCCCCTCCTGGGGCCCGAGTCCTCACCCTTGAGAAGAGGGTGAAGCATCCCAGGCGGCTCACGATGCAGTACACTTCAGGCAGGCGCTTCCCTTTGCCACCAGGCTTTTTGGGTGAAATACAAGGAAATCATGAGTGTCACCAACTCAGGGAAGAAAAGAACCTGACCATTTTTGAGTGTTTTGAGTATTTCCACATACCGTAGCTGAAATCCCAGTGAGGTAAGTAGTTATGGCATTTTATAGGTGGGAAGTACTTCTGGTCACATGGTACATATATTTTTATTCTCCCAAAGAGACCAAATCAAGTATGTTGTACACACAGTAGGTGTTCAATATGGCTTACCGAACCATAAAGTAAGGAGGGGCTTAACTTGTTTACCCAAATCCCTGTAGTTCCTCTTAAGGAGTTACCCTGAAACCATACGCTTATTATAATGATAATTCCAAGCAAGTAGTAATTTCTGAAAATCCCTTTGGAAACAATATTTTAAGCTAGTGTTCAAACAAACAAACAAAAAATCAATCTCAATACTTTATGAAGTAATTTTACCAACAAACATTATTATACCGCTTCATTTTTTCAATTATCCATACTTTTTATTCACTAAGTCAACAATTCTATATTGAACACTTACTATGTGACATGCATTATTCTTGACTCAAAATTATAACAGCCTATTTCTAAAACTCAAATATACTTCCAGAGGAAATGGATTTGCCACTACTAAAGATTTTCAAAAGAATGGGTCTCAAAAAGACAAAACTCCAACTTTTTTTAACATGGTATTCCATTGGAATAAATTCCTGACTTTTAAAGGTGATTGCTCTGAAGGAGACACTCAAATTATTCGTGTCATGAACAATAAAACTATCCTTCTTCCTTTATTAGTTGTTAGAAATGTTCCTCTAACCTACTGGGGTCTGTTTAGCATGTTTTATTAGAAAGGACATTTGGCTTAAGGAGAGAAAGGTCTTCTATGTGGCAGGAAAAACAACGGAGAAAGTGTTTTCTTTCCAAAGGAGACACAGACGTTGGTTGTATCTATCGGGAAGGCTCAGACAAACCCCCAGATCTTCTTCCATGCTTTTAACAACCCAATTAACCTGCCAACCTCCTGTCCCTTCTCTCGTGGCACATGGAGAAACCTTAGGAAGCCAGCTCTGGCTCTGCACAGAGCTTCTGCCGACGGTGGAATGTACTAACCAGCAGTCTGCGGCAGTACCCAAACCTTCTACTTCCATCTTCTCCAGTTAAGACAAATGAGAATGTTTCACTGTGGATGGAAAAATGAAAGTATGTTACAAAGCAAAACCAAAGACATCACAGTGGGTGATTGGGTGATATTCTGGAGGAGGCTGGCAAGGTGGGTAGCTCTCTGTCCTGCTTTCGCACCTGTGCTGGACTCTGGGTGCCTACAGAGTCCAAGTCTATGTCAGGGAGAGGGAGCTGTAATGTTCACTGTGTCCTGAGAGGAAATGAGGGGTTGTTTTTCACCCTGGGCTCTCCTGCAATTTCACCACCTGAGCCATCCTGTTGCACAGACACACAGTCATTTACAGAGCATCTATGGTGGCCGCTGCCCTGAGGGTGCTTGAGGGTGAGGTGGTGTCCACTGATGTAGGGATGGGACTCGGTGAGGGAGCAGCTGAGGAGTGGGACAGTTCTGTGCTCCTCCTGGGGCTGCCCCTGGCGTGGCTCTCCAGGGAACTGTCCGTCCAGAGCTATTGTGAGTCTTGGATGGTCCTTAAGAACTGCTGGGCCAACTTCAAGGAGCACAGCGTTTCTTAAACACTTAGGATATGCAGCCTACTGAGTTGGTCTATCTGAAACATCTGATAAAAATACTGGTATCTAACAACATGGGTTAAAAGTAAACTTATTACAGTCCGAGTAACAGCTGGACAGACTGTTAAAAGAAATGTTTCTGGAGCAACTGACAAGGTTGGGGCATGGGAAATGTTTTTCTAACTTTTCCTGGACTAAGAATGACTTATTGCCCTTCATACAGGCTTATGAAGCAAACATATTCCCAGACTGCACAGGAAGCCTGGGAATCTGCATCCTTAGAGAAGTGATTCTTATCTTCAAGGAAGTTTTGAAATACCAGTGGGGGAAACTACGAGCCCTGCACCCATCAGAATCACTTAAGAGTAGTATTGAATTATGGGGTCTGCCCTCTCTGCCCCGCTCTCTATTCCTCATCTTAATCTTTGGGGTGAAGAGGAGAGATGCTAGCACATGCCTGGTAAACTGCTGGACAGGAGTCCAATCCTTGGCATCGGGAAAACAGAATTGGGGGATAGCCTTCAGCTGGTCCTCGGCCTCTCTCATGAGCTTGAAAGACCTTTCCAACTGCAGAGAGAAGGGTGACAGAAGGTTGGTGGATAAACCCCAGCATGGGAGTAAGGCAGATGCTTGGCAAGACCATGCCTCCCACCTTCCTGCAACTGTAACCGCAACCTCCTCCCTCGGGAAGGTTTATAGCTCACTCAGTTAGGGCTCTTCTCCCCTAGAGCAATTCCAGCTCCAGTCCTTTGGGGGCAGTCAGGAAGAAAAAAATAGCATACTTGAGAGAAATGTTCTTGATGCCTAACATTCTAGAATATAACCATATTCCTAAAGAAAAAGTGTCATAGCAAACACTTCCAAATAAGAGACTCATGAATCTATAAGGCAGCCTCAAATCTGGTCTTCCAACCTCTGGCACAGGCAAAGCTGTCCCTCCTGGATCCAGGCAAACACATTTTACAATACTTAGTGGATAGGGCTAGTTAAATGATATTCCACTATCTAATTAAACTAATTTCAGAGTCCTTGAATGTCAGAACTAGAAAGACACTGGACATCATCCAGTCTGACATTCTTATTTTAGCGAAGAGGAAATAAGCTCTGAAATGTTAAGTAGTTGACCATGATCACACAGCTAGCATAGAATCTAGTTAGGAATCTTAATCTCTAGTGCCTGTCTGTCCATCTCTCATTTATCCAACATCATGGACTGGATGATTATCCTCTTGTTGTAAAAAACGAACTAATAAGATCTGATTTAGAGATGATATTTAAAGCCATATGCTTGCTTATTTTGTGTATAAACAATAATCTGTGTTTTTAAAAAGCACCCCATTCTGGGGACCTGTTGCACAACAGTGTGCATGTAGTTGACAACATGGTACTTTATACTGGGAAATGTCAGGAGCGTGAGTTCTATGGTATGCGTGTTTTTGCCACTTTAAAAAAAAAGCACTCTAGGTACAAGTTTGGGAAGCAAAAAAGAATAATCTGTAACTAGCATGTTTGCTTATGAATTGGTATCGACTTACCTCTGAAGTGATGGTAAGAATTATTGGCTTTTTGTCACTGTTGATAAGTTTATAGTTTTTATGTTTTCTTTATAAACAGTTAAAAAATAAATGATGCTGAAGTTACCTTCAGTAATTTGAAATATCGGACATTTGAAGTGAGTACAGTCTGGATTTCTGAAGTTAGGAAGTTGTAATATCTAACCTAAATTCCTTCTGTAAATTTACCATTTCTTATTTCGCTCTCAGAGCTTGCCGCTGAGCTCCACTTCAAACCAGCCTTGCTGTTGCGGAAGCTATGGGCTGGCAGTACTGACAACCACTTCACAAGCTTTCCCAGGGCCACCGAATGTGAGGGAGGCGCTCTCTGAAGACAGCGTCCAAAGGAACAGAGCTGATGGTTTCCAATTTTAGAACCCAATTCTGGTATGATTCCCTTTGGGCTACAGCAAATTTAATTAAAGCTGCTACTAATATTAATGGTTGAGACAACTATCAATGAATAAAACAATGTCACATCACCACTTATCAAATTAAAGCCAGTCATATGTTGACCTTTGGTTTTTCTTTTTCAAAACAGTCACTATTTCTTTTCTATGTAACAGTTCTCTCTTCTATTCATGACCCAGAAGATTCTAACTGGTCCTGGAACAGTCTTTGAGCTGACAATTAACTAGTTCAGGCGGTTGCCAAAGCAGTAATTTTTGACTACCCTTGGATTGTCTCTCAGAGAAGCAAACATAAGCTCGGCCTAGTTGATGGAAGGGGTCACTCACCACCACAGAGAGGACCACAAACTTTAAAGAATACAAAAGGAAGGAACAGTGACATGTCTCCATAGTGGAAACAGCATTAGAGAACTGAAAATGAGGCCTTGTATAGAAGTGAGTTGCAGCACTTTTTAACATAGCCCAGTTACCATCTGGATACATCAGCTTTTTACATGCATGGATACATGCATCATGCACACAAATATGTGTATACACATGTGGGCCTACACACACTGTCATCAGCGTATGAGTCATCAGCCCAAATGTGCACATACGTGCTCTCTTATGCACACGAGCACATTTCAACAGGAAGTGGCATGTAGAGATCTCACTCACAAATACACTTAGTCATAGATAGCAGGAAAATACTCCAGTCTCTGTGAACTGTCATACAGACAAATGCATGATATCATACATTTTAATGGAACGGGCAGGCATGATCTCTAGCATGCAGATACGGAGTGTGACCCTTGAAAAAGATGACTATAGGAATGGGGGAGAAAAATCATGAAAAAAAGTTAGAAAGGAGGAAAAGGTCCTTCTGGCAAAGGGAGTGAGTGAAGGCAAAGAGATATGAAATAGCCTGACACAAGAATGCATGTGTATTATGCTAAGTGAAATAACAGGCGGAGAAAGACCAATACCATATGATTTCACTTATTTGTGGAATCTAAAAACTAAACAAAACAAAATGAACAAAAGAGCAGTAGACTCACAGACACTGAGAAGTGACTGATGGCCACCATGGGGGAGGTGTTGGAATGGAGTTGAAGGGGACAGGGAGAGGGATAACGGGGCACAAAGATTCTCAATCGTAATATAGATTGGTCATGGGGATGGTAGTATAGCATGGAGAATATGGCCAATGATTCTGTAACATCTTTGAATGTTGACAGGTAGTAACTGCACTAATGGGGGTGAGGATTTAATAATATGGGTAACTGCTGAGCCACTGTGTTGTATACTTGAAACCAATATAGACTGTATATCAACTATACTTCAATTTTAAAAAATGCATATATAGAATGATTATGATGACATTAAAAATCTATGTTCCTAAAAAATACTGGCATCAAGACACATTTCTAGCAGGAGTCTGGTTAAACAGATCAGGCTATATCCATATAACACAGCTAAATGTAATTTTAAAAATGATGTTTTAGAATTTGTATTAAATATGTTTATAAATGATAGGCTTATAAAACATGATATTAAAATTATACAATGTAGAATTCCAGTTCTGTAAGAAAATTACACTAGGAGAAAAGCCTGGAAGAAAATATAACAAACTGCCAACAGTGATGATCTCGGGGGAGTGGGATTATAGGTGACTTTTTTCTTTACACATTTCCAGATTGGTTCCCTTTTCAACAGTGACTAGGTAATTTTCCACTCAAAAAAAGCTTTAATGTAGACATCTAGGAGTCTAGAGACTCCAGGTTGGAAACTATAAGCATTCAATAGTTATGGTGATTCATTACTTAGTTCATGATTTACAGCCTTTATTCCTGGGACATTAAGTATTGCCACATATACAGCACTGTGGTAGGCCCTGCGGGGAGCAAACCGGGGACCAGACAAGCCCATTGTGCTTTGGCGCTTGTTCTGTGGGGGACTCAGCTAAACGGGGGTAGACCATAGCACTGGCCTTTTCAGGGGGTCACCCCTAGCAGTCAGCTGGAGTAAGCGCCCATGTGAAGGCCTGGGGTGTCTGGTTTACCTGAATTACATGTCATGCCCCCTCTGAACTCCAAGGGCGGGACTTGACTGCTGTGCTGGACCACAGTGGGTGGGACGGGAGGCGGGATGGCCCAGGAAAGAAGGTGAGGGACAGCAGGGGGCCGGGACCTTGGCAGATGCCGGGGTTAATGCTTGGGTGGTGACAGTAAAGGGAAGCCCTGAGGGTACTAGGGTGTGACACCCTCCTGTAGTCCTGCCTTAGAGCACCTCAGTGTGCAACTATATGGAGAGTGTCACACTCGACCTTGTGAGCCTTTATAAGCTTCTCTACGCCCTCCTGTCAGGACAGGAAACACCCTTTGCTTATCTTTGTAAACCTCCAGGGCCAAGCAGAAAACAGCCTGAATCAGTAAATTCTGGCTGAACTGAATTAGAATGTGGTAGACACCATATAATTCTGGTGTCAAAGTGTAAGAATAATTTATGTTATTCACCATGCCATTTTAGGCTTTACTGAGGACCATCTCATTTTAGGTGCTATGATTTAAAATACGGTTGAGCCAAATCCACACAGCCATGAGCCACACTAGGACAGAACAGGACCCTGTGCTTACACAGATGCGGAGGTACACCGTGTTTAGCATGTACAGGTGTTTAGCATGGACACAAACATGACCTCCTTAGGGAGAGCCGGGCGGCTTGATGGGATGGGGACTTCTAGGATGGGTTGGGAAGAGGCACGGCTGGATAGGGAAGTGGGGAGGACGAAGAGGGCAATATGGTCAGCCCAGTGACCATGGGAGTGAGTATTTCTGGCCATACTGGAGTCATTGCATCTCACCTCCTGGAGCCCCCCAAATTCTCCAGCAGAGGTTGTTTTCATTAGATATACCCTAATTAGAACCCATATTTGAGATGCTAGACACTCAGTGCTCCTCAGACTCCCAGCTCCCTGGAAGCACGAGCTCCACCGAGATGGCAGCAGGCACGCCGCAGCCCCGGGCAGGACGCACCTTGACAGGGAACTGCTGGGTGAGCTCGGGCACGTACGCGGCGCCGGCCTGCTTCTTGTGCAATGACACGACCACGAAGTACTCGAAGAGCTGCCTCTCCTGGTACTCGATGAGCTCCCGGTCCAGTGACGGGTACCTCGGTGCCTGCTTCAGGCGTGACTTCACGTTGACCAGGCGCTGGCTGTGAGCTGGGGGGACAGCGCACGCCTGAGAACGACTCACTGCCCAGCGTGCAACCTCGCAGGGTTGCAACAGGTTATGTAATTCCCACCTCAAAGTACTTTTCCTAATCCTAAAAAAAGTGTTCCCACATTTAACAAATTAGTACAAAAGTCTATTTGGGATTCTTGCCAAAGTTCTGGGAGGAGCCACACTGGATGGGCCGCCGCCAAGAGCCTGGAATGCGGGGACTCCGCTCCGCCGCGGATTTGCAGTCCGGACCTGGCGCGGGGCTGGAGGGCGGGAGTACTTGGCGTTCCTGCGACAGAGGGGGTGGGGACCCTGACTCCTCCCCTCACTCATTGCCTTCATCTTTCAGTTTGTGCGATGTGACAAAATCCAGACACAGAGCTTTCGGAGCTGGGAGCTTTGTAAACATCCCTCGTGACTCAACTGGCAGAGACCTGACTGACTCAAGCGCTCCCAGCACCTTCTCTCTGGCCACCATTCTATGCGTGGAAGCAGACTTGCCCCGTTCCAGAGGTGGGCCAGGAGCAGAGGGGCGTCAGGGGCGAGTAAGGCAGCGCCGCCGAAAGGACAGGTCCCCATCACCTCACTCGGCAGCCCTGGACTCTGGCTTTCTTTGGCTTCCCCCTGGAGACTGAGAAATTGCAGAAAACTCACTAAAACCGAGACCCAGATCGCTGAACTCAGATCCACAGGGACCAATTATTTGAGTGACTTCATCTGACAGATGAGGAACTAGCGGCCCTGAGAGCTTAAGTGATTTCCTCCAGCTCATACAGCAATTTTAACAGGAGCAGGGCAAGAGCCCAGGTCTCTGGTGTCCCAGGCCAGCAATACTGTTACCTTACACAGGTGTGACAAACACCTATGACGTACAGGAGGGTGTGGGAACAGAGGGTCAAGTGCACTTGCAGCGAAGCCACAGGCTCAGTGACTGAACAGGTGCATTCCGGCCTTGCTCAGCACTGACCCTCCCCTGAGCACCCTGCGGGTGCCCCATCCCCTCAGTCGCACCCTGTCCGACAAGCTCGGGCAGGGGCTCTGGCCCGTCCCTCACACTGGACAGGAGGCTGCCCGGCCACCTGCACGCGCCCTGCATGGCAACTGCTCTCCTCACCTTTCAGCTTCTCCTCGGTGTCACTGTCAGACTCACTGTTCTCATCTGTCACTAGATAAAAAACAAACAAAAACACCAGTATCAACAAAGGAAGAAAAGTTACAAATGTGAGTTTTCCTAATGTGGGAAATTTTTTACAGGTGGTTGCACAGACCCAAGATTTCTAGTTCACAGAGGCTCTTTTCTGTTTGTCCACTTAAATGTAATGGACAAACTATGTATTTGTCCAGCTAAATGTATTTCCAAATTAATTTGGCTCTAGTTCAGATGGCATCTATGTCAAATAATCCAGTGGAAGATACTGGCCCGTTTTCACATGCGAAGCAAAGAAAGTCGCTCCCCCAGTGGTCAGAGCGCGCAGCACTGGGCAGACGGATGGGTGGGCAGGGAAAGAGGACATGCCACCAGGCTGAGCTCCTGGAACAGTGGGACACATTTACAAAGCACCAACTTGGTCTCCTCCTTGGTGAGCCACCCCAGAACACCAGGAAATGGCTTCTAGGAAGGATCTGTTTTCAGATTCTTGGCAGGGGAGGGTGGGCCGGGGCCCTACCTTTTCCTGAGTTACTCTCCGTTGACTGGGACAGCCTCTTCACCCGTTTCTTTCCTCTCCGGGCCTCATAAATGGCATTGATTCGCAACACCAGCTGCCAGACAGAAGGAAAGGCAGTGTTAGTGCCTCCTGCCCACATGCAGCTGGGGCTCCTTGGTTGCCTGTTCTCTTCTAGGGTGATGGAGAGACAGGGAAAGCGGAGGGAGGGGACATTTCCCACCAGCCCACTGGTGACTTTCAATCATTGTTTTCTGCCAGACAGGAATGTGACAGTGGAGAACACTAAGGCTGCCTAACAGAGGCATGAGGCTCGCTGAGGAATGAGTGGGGCTGTCTAACCACACCATCGCATCCAGCTGAGACACAGAGGGCGCCGATTCCACTGGCTGATGGCATGACGGCTGCTGCCCTCCGGTACTGCCATGTCACTGTGGTTTGGGATGAGCTTTTGCCCCCAAAACAAGAAGAGCCAGCAATAAAAAAGCTCCTATCAGGGCCCCTTTCGTGGGAACCATGCCAAGTGTGAGCAGCTGAGTGGGAAGGGAGGAGGGATTACTGTGGGTTCTGGGTGCTGGCTTGGGGCCACCTGAGTAGTGCCCCTCTGCAGGGGAACACTCGCTTCCGGCTCGCTGAGGCCTTGCATGGCCTCTCCTGGTACTGGAAGCCGAGTCATTCAGCAGACAGCCCTGCTTAGCAGCACCTTCCTCAGGCTGATCATAGCAGAAACCATCCGGTGATTGAAGCCCTGGGTCACTTCCCACCAGGCTTTACAGCACCATCCGAGCTTTCAGGAGTGGGGGCGTCCTGGGGTCCACCTGGTTGGGAGAAAGGGAAGTCTTCCCATGCATAATTGAGGCAAAGTAACCAGCGATTTTAAAGGGGAGCTGTGTCGGTTAAGATGCCTTGAAAAGTGTTCAACTCTTTTATGCACTGGAAAGAATAGGAGGGGGTAAACTGGGTGATGGGTACCCAGGTGGGTGCAGGAGGCGGCGGTTACTAGTTTGCCTTCTACTCCTCTCACCCACTCCCTGAAGTAGCCTGCTAGCTTCCTTCCACAACCTGGAGCACGGCCCACCTAGGAAGGAGGTAGCTTATTCCATGATCTCCTTGTCAGAGGCCAGGGCTCCATCCCTCCAACTCTGCAGACTCTTACTGCCGCTGCGTTGCCATACTTCAGACACCCGTGCCCCCTGGCTCCCGATGGGTGGCCCAGCCTGGCCGTGAGGCTCTGTGTGAATGCTTCATCCCTAGCAGTGTGCCGGCTTGGCCACTGTTTTGCCGTGAACTCGAATGAGGTCTCTGTCTTTACCCGCAGATCCCTGCTGTGTGGCAGGTTTTTATATTTGCTCTCGTGAACCAGCTCCTTCCTGGAGACCTCACAGCCCTGAAATGGCCATCTCTTCTCTTCTGCACACACTCTGGCCACTGGGATGTTCACGCCAACCCCAGTTCCCACAGAAGAAGACATGTATAAATGAGAGGCTAGCTAGTATTCACAATAGCCAAGAAGTAAGAACACCCAAATGTTGATTGATGGATAAATGGATAAACAAAAGGTGGTGTATGCAACCAGTGGAATATTATTTGGCCTTAAAAAGGGAGGAAATTCTTACACATGCTCTCACATGACTGAACCTTGAGGATATTACGCTAAGTGAAATAAGCCAGTCACAAAAGCACAAATATTATGTGAATCCACTTATGCGAGGTACCTGAAATAGGCAAATTCATAGTGACAAAAAGTAGGATGGATTGCCAGGGGCTGGAGGAAGGGGGAGTGGATAGTTAGTGTTTAATGGGGGCAGAATTTCAGTTTGAGGAAGTTGGATAAGCTCTGGAGAGGGATGGTGGTGACAGGCACACGACAATGTGAACGTACTGAATGCCACTAAACTGTACATTTAAAAATGGTGAAAATGCTAAGTTTTATGTTATGTATATTTTACCACAATTTAAATAATGTAAAAAAACAAATGAGTTGCTTGGTCAACTTGTTTTTTGGGAAGGAGGATATTTTTAAATCCATTCAAAAATCTCCCCACAAAATATCCAAAAGTAACTGGAAAGAAGACAGCCACATATAGTTAACATCCTTCCACATATTCAAATACAACAAATGCTAGAATGTAGGCACCATGTAGGCAGGGACAGTACCCGAATGGGATGGAACAATGCCTGGCACACACAGTAGTTACTCAATAAATATTTGTTGATTATGAATTTGTTGAATGAATATTGAGCATCTCCTATGTGTACGGGATTTTGCTAGGAGCTGTGAGAAATAAGAAGATATACAGGCCTGGCACCCTTTCTCAGGCAGTTTATAAGCTAATAATGAGAACTAAGATGCATTCACAACTGTCATACAAGACAATCACAAGCCCTATGTGAGCGGCATAAACAATGAGACACGAGGTTTTCTCACTTGAAATCAGATCATGAAATAAGTGGAAGCAAATATGCTTCAATCTTTATTTCTTTTTACTCAAGAAAAATTTGTCCCAGGGAGCAAAACTTGAGACACGCTTTCATATAAATTGCATTTCAACAGGAGATATGTTTTGTCATTTTAAGTGTCTGCACTAGGATTGGCCTTTGAAGCTTGTTTTTCACTATAAATATTTTCACTATAAGCTCATTCAAAGCTCATTTGCCTGCTTTCTAATTCTGCCCACGTGGCTGCTAAGGAAACACAGGATTTCACACAAACTCCTGAAGTGTGCCCAGGGGAGGCAGGTGTCCGAGTGGCCAGAGGAGCCAGCTTCTCATTTTAAATGGACATCACAGTGCTTCACGAATCCTAAGGATATTACATGCTGTGCCATTAACTGCTCTGTTTCATTTGCCATCTTAATGAAGGTACAGTGTTGGGAGAAGATAGGGAAGGACTGTCTTTTTCACTGGGCCCTTCATTCCTCGCGGCGGAAGCAGGGAGAGGGCAAGGGAAGCACGCAGCCTGCCCGGAGGGCCTCTTACAGCAGAGGCAGCTTAAGGGCCAACCCATGGTCTGAGGAGCTGTGAGCAGACCGTGAAGTCCTTCTTGCTAGATAAATACACAAAAATGAGGGTTTGGGAGAGCCAGTGGTTTAAGGTTCCAAACTATGGAAGTCATGAATGTGCCCAGCAAAGAACCCTTGCCTTCAGGTAAAGGATTCAGAGCATTTTGAAAGAAAGGAACATAGGACCCAAGAATGGGGATAAGTCTAGGCTAAAATTAAGTAGCAAGTGAAACAGGATTAATGAGACTTCTAACAAACTATAGTCCTTGGTTTTCATTTAAAGCATATGTATGAAGAATTATGTTCCACATCTTCATGATGAAAGTTTTAGTAAGGTTTTACTGTAGTTGGTGTAGAAGGGATGGTAAAACATGCTGATTTTTCTCTTGGCTTGATTACACTTGTCAAAGCCTATTGATGATGCCCCTGTGTGCTAGTTAAGTGGTGGCAAAACTCACTTGAATTTCAGGCAAAATGAAGAGGAAATGGATGGCTGCACTTGCAAATTAAACATACATTAAGTGACAGCAATAGTTCAATCTTCCTTTCCACCTCTCATATTCTCTGTCCCTTAGTCTCAAAATACCTTTTTGATATTAGAAAGGGATGGTACAAGCATTGGGTGGGAGACAGAGGTTAAATGCTTATGAAGACATCGCACATCAAACAGAGTTATAGCTGAGCTCTTTTAGCTGAACAGCTAATTTGTCTGATTATTCCTGTTTAATTTGCTAAAATAATGGTGAGTCTGTACACATGTTAACAGCCAGTTTTAATTATTCCACAATTGCGGACTTTTGCCATTGCAAATGCGTATGAACCATGCCAGAACAGGCAGAAGGGGAGGAAGGAAGTGGCTTGAGACCCCACACTCTGGGGTTCTCATGAGCAGCTATCATGACAGCATGGGACAGTGACTCTGGAAAGCAGCCACAGGAGTGGCTCTGTGCCAGGCCCAAAGAGACAGGGACCCACATGGTAGTGGAGCTCATTCCACCGACGTCAGATAATCAACATGCAACATGAGCTGCCCCTGGGGCTGGGCAAGGCAGGACCAGGAGAGCAGTAGGGGACAAGGCCTGGCTCCTGCACCGGCCCCTCTGCCCTCCATCAACAAGACAAAGCCAGACATCTTCTCCCCAGTCCTACTGCCCCACCTCCAGGCTGCAGGTCTTTGGTCTTTTCTCGACCACCTGACCCTCACTTCCCTTCCCCTTCAGAATGCACTGATGGTCCAGGTGACTTAGCCTCCCTTGAATAAGAATGTTGGGAGTGGGGTTGGTGCAGGTAAAACTATGGCTCAAGACACTGACTAACCAAACTGTGTCGGGGGGGACCAGCTGTGAAGATGTGCCTTGGCTGTTAGGCCAACGGGTCACTGAGAAATCTGATGAAACCTAGAGACAATCTCCTCCCTTTCCCCACCCCCCAAGCCCATCCACACAAAGTTTTACACAATTTCATGGGTTTGAAACCCCCTCAAGCCCATCCATGGACCAGAGTGAAGACTCCCTGATCTAAAAGTTCTTGTAGGAAACTGGAACCGGACCAACCAAAGAAAGCGTCGGACACGGCAGGGCTGGGCCTGAGCCAAAGGAGGCCTACCAGGCAGACACATTAGGATGCACTCCCAAGCCACAGGCACGGTCCATCTTCTGGGCTTTCAGAGCTGGGACAGAGGTTCTCGTGCCAAGTGCGGCCGCAGAGCACAGGCTCCATGTGCCGGCGCAGCAGGCGCTGACCGAGCCTGAGGAGCAGCGTGGGCCATGGAGCTCTACTGTTTGAGGCCATGAGGGAGGAGGACGTGGCCTTTTAGGCCGGGCACTGGAAACACAGTCTGGGATGTGAGCACAGTTAGGCTGGGAGGGGTGGCTAAGACGAAGGCTACAGGACCACAATCAGTGAGATGACAAAGGCCCAGGAGCCCGGCTTGCGGGCTTCAGCAGGTCCTCTAGCCTCTGATGAAATGCGTAGACGAGGGCTCAGTGATTCGCTCACCGCCCAGCCTCCTCTGCAGTCTTCCTTTATAGGGAAGGGGGATGCGTATCTGCACACGCAGCTTGTTGCGAGCCTTACCTTGGGTATCTTTCTCTTCTTCCTGCCATTCTGTGGGTCTCCAAGGTTAAATAAAGTGTCATCAGGGCTGCTGGGGGTAGAGGGAGGGCTGATTTTGGAAGGGGACCCAGTTCCATCCCTACTCAGCTTCCTAGTGTCCAGCAGTTTGAAGTTCCTCCTCTCTGAATTTTGCCGGAAAAAAACAGGTTTGGACAATGGCTGTTGGGAGGGAAAGGAGACAAGAGAGTGAATAATAAACATAGGCTTAGAGGAGATACCTGGGGGTGCCGGTGACGGAGACCACGTGATGGTGAAGGGATGCTGCTCTGAGTTCCCGGGGAATGTGGAGTTTCTCTAGGCCAATAAATGCTCAGTACACATCTTAGGAGAATATTATGGAGAACTATGGAAAATCAGTCTGACACATGATGTAGATCTAATCCAGTTTCTCTTTTTGCATAAGTGGGAACTCACCTGGCTCAATCCCTTACCTTTACAACTGAGGTTTTCTGATAATCCAACACACACTGTGCTGGCAGGAACAAGGCCCAAGCCCGGCTTTGACCCTGCTGCTGGCAGTACGAGTGCCTCCTACACAAAGAATTTCACTTCTGTGGGCCTCAGTGTCTTGTTCAAAGAAAAAAATGGAGAAAAATTGCAACTATAAAACTCATTTTCTCATATATACAAATTAATGAGAACACGACCAACAATTCCAAAGAAAAATAGGCAAAGGAAGGGCAAGCTTATAGAAACATAAATTTAGTGATCCTCAGATACATAAAATGATTCTTAGCTTCAGGTATAAGAAAATTAAAATTCTATTTAAAAAACATTTTTCTCCAAAGATTAGCAATGATAAAAATATGTGATATCTCACTCTGTTAGTGAAAGGGAGGAAAAACAGTCACTTTCTCACTGCATGCCCTGTTGGTGGGACTGGAAATGGGTACAACTCCATGAAAGGCAATCTAGCAGTATCAACAAAATGACAGACGTGTATTCCCTTTCACACAGCAATTCCACCTCTAGGAATTTACCCTACTGATATGCTTGTGCAAACCTATAGTGCACAAGGGAAGTTATATTGGGCAAAGTATATTGTACACTGTGCCACGGCTTGTAAACACAAAATGTTGGAACTATTCACTAAGGAATATTAATGCCATTTTGACTACATCTTTTCTAAAGATATTTCCAGGATGCACATTTTATGACCATAATTAGAGTTGCAAGTTTCTTTTTAAGACATTAATTTTTAGGTGAGATACTATAGGTAAGGCACCTAGCATTGTATGTCTACTATACTTCAATCAAAAAATTTTTTTCTAAGCACCTGGCAGAGTGCCCGATTTACAATAGGCATTCAATGTAAATTTTCTCTTTCTTCCTCTTAAGATACTGACATTTTTTCATACTTTAATGTGCTAACTACATTTTTCTTTTAATACACTGTTTATGTTCTTTGCCTGTTTATCTTTTAGGATCCTAGTGTTTTTCCTATTAATTTGGATGAACTCTCCACACAGATGTGAACTATTTACCAGTTATGCTACAAGTATGTTTTCCCCATGTGGTTTGTTTGTACTTTTATTTCAGTTATGTAGAATTTTTCACATAACATTTTTTATATATAAAAACCTGCTCTTTTGTGATCGATTTTATCTCTTCATTTGCCTAGAAAATCTATGTCTTTTTAGAGATATAGTACATATTGAATTCCATTTTCTTTTGGATTTTATTAGTTTATTTTGAACATATTTTATACATTAATTCATCATTAATTTTATTGTATGTTAGCCTAAATCAATTTTTTTCACAAGCTGACTTAGCCCTATTTCATTTAATAAATAAGCCTTTCTTTCTGTGTCAATTTATAAGGCCACATTTATCATATTTTAAACTCACAGAATATTTTGTTCCATTGATTTCTCCGTTCTTGCTTAGTTCTGTTAAGCAGAAACAGGTATGAGCGGAATGAAAAGAAGGTGGAGCCCGCCAAGAACTCAGGGAGCTAATCAGATAAAGCCAGAGAGCCAGAGAACTCATAGAATTAATGTGCTTTTGCAATATGAGTTCATTCCAATGCTCTGAACCCGAGCGGATGTTGAGACTTGCTCTAGCTAATGCAGGCGAGACGGAGCTGAGGCGTGAGACAACCATCACGATTACCTTTTCCTGCCTATGATGAAAAATGCTGAAACATAAACAGCAGAGTAAGAAGAGGAGGGACTCCATCTGAAGGCTAAGATTCCATTTTAAAAGCAGAGAGTTGAGAAGTTAGATTCCTAACATATTCTTTGGTAATCAGCCAACGGACTTATCTTTAAGGCAAGGCAAGCGGCTTAACTGATGTGTTCCCAGTGCTTAAGAGAAGCCACTGTCCTGGAAAGGAACAAGAAGTTCATTCTATGGAATTACCTAGAGGACTAGCTATAGATAATGGCCTGTTGTCTCTCACCAGAGATAGACATCATAAGACCGCCTGACAAACCTGTGCCCCCTGACCCTTTACCTTTATCCCCTTCTTGAAAGCCTTAAAAGACAAAATCCCAAGCCCTTAAGTGCTCTCTTCCTCCCTGACATTGCCTCACTCGCCTTTGTTCGAGAATGTCACTCTCTCCTACTCCAGATAAGCAGGGAGGGGCTTCTGAGAGCTCGGATTTGGTCTTGCAAGTTCCCTTCGACTAGGTGACCCAGATGGAGCAGCTGCTATTCTGTCATGCTCCTTATAGCCTGCCTAAAAATCTTTTCTTTGCCTTTAGGAAGTTCTCAGAACATAATCGCACTCCCTTCAGTGCTCTGTGGCCCCCCCCAGCTCCTGGGGTGGCAGGGGCTTAGTTCCCACACTGTGCAGATTCAAGCAGACCCTAAATTCTAGGTGACACTGGTTTTAAGAACTAGTAAGATATGATGCCCAATGCCAAGCAGCAGTTTGGTGAGCTTCCCTTTCTTCCGTTTTTCCTTCCTCTCTGCCTTTGTCTCCCTTACTGCAGCCTGCTGCCCCCTTAGGGTGCATTCAAATAAAACCTTAACTCTGCTTCACTATTTTGTCTCTGCCCTTCAATTCTTTGTGGCAGTGGAGACAAGAACTGAAGAGAACAAATTCAACCCCCCAACAGTTTCAAATAACAATGTAACAATAACTCCAGAACCTTTTCTTTTTAAAGATTTCCAGGAATAAAGACTCCTGGCCTTCCCAAGCAGCCTGCTCCAGTGTTTCACTGTGAGGCTATAGGCAGCAATTAATTGCTTAGCACCACAAGCCCTGAGTAGAAGCCAGTGTAGTTTGCTCACTATGTGCATCTTAATAATGAAACTGGCACAAGAAGAAATAATAATGATAAGTCTTAAAGACCAAATTCCATCTGCAGTGAAATCCAAGGAAACGGCCCCAATTCTTTCAGTGCATTGACATCTCATACCAAATGGATGGCAAGAAGCAGGTTTTCTGTTTTCATTAGAGATTTAGATTGTGATAGTGATTGTTCAAAGATATGATCTATGAAAAGGTCTGAGAAGAAAAAGCCAGAAAGGAAATCAGAACGTGGCACACCACTTTCTGAGGGTGTCAAGAGGCCGGATGGAGGCTGTGTGTGGGCTGCATCTCTCGGTGGTCCTGCTGCTAGACAAAGCGGCCGGGTGTGTCCCGGAGCACTCAAAGTAAGCCAGCAAATGTCCAGGCAGCTCTCACAAGGGGGTGGAGTTTCAGTAGCTCTTTAACTGATAAGAAGAGGATTTAGCCAGCTCAGGGGGAGATAATTATCAAGCATACAGCACAGTCTGAGACTAGGCAAAGAGGTGAGGAAGAGTAAAGGAGACTGAAGAGACTGTTCTTGGCTTAGAGCGAGGGAAGTGAAGCAGATGGAAGAGGAGATGATACCAGTGGAGGCACGGAATCGTCTGTGGAAGTGAGGGAATGAGTTCTGGATTCACAATGGACTCAACAATAAGTATCCAAGAGGGAAAAGCAGACATGGATCCTCTGTTGAAACCTCTTGAGTTATTTCAGATCACAGAGTATAATAGGTCTTGGCCAAGGGGCATCCTGGCGAGGAGAAGGGGCGCAAGGAAGCTGCGAGCTTCCCAGGGTGGGGGAACCAACGTGGAAGCAAGCCAGGTTCATACATTCTTCCTGGTGGTGAATGGTGGCTAATGGCTTAACCCCTCTTCCTGTCCTCTACTGTCCCTGTTTTATTACCTCAGGAGGCACTGATGACACAAGACTAAAAGAGTCCTATATCTTCCTTACCTATGTCAACCTCATTCTTATTCTGTTTTACATAGGCCTTTCCCAAGAAGCACTCAGATGTCGTTTGCCACAAACATACACATTTGTTCATATATGCCCAGAGGTACATAGATGTACATGAATACACAGCCACTCTCCTAAATATAAATACATAGAAATACAGTTGACTCTTTAACAACATGGGTTTGAACTCTGTGGGGCTACATATGTGTAGATTTTTTTGAATAAACATACTGGAACTTTTTTTTGGAGATTTTGGACAATTTGAAAAACATTAAGATTTTTTTCTCTAGCTTACTTTATTGTAAGAATATAGTATATAATATATATAACATATGAAATATGTGTTCCCTATTTATATTATTGGTAGGCTTCCAGTGAAGAGTAGGCTATTAGTAATTAAGTTTTGAGAAAGTCAATTTACACGTGGATTTTTGATGGCGAGAGGGTGGGGTATATTTGGTGTCTCTTACCCCTATGTGTTCAAGGGCCAGCTGTACACAGGAAGGCATACATGCACATTCCAAAAATTGGGACATATACTAATGTAATTAATGACATTATATTAAAATGCAGGCAATAAAAATGGTTTTTAAAAAGAAATTAATGACAATGGGGAATACTTATGATAAAAGAGCAAAAGTATACATTTAATAATATCTAAAATCTTTTTATACACACACATGTTCACACACACACACACAGTGAGGCAGTCTGGGAGGAAATAAACCAAAGTGGTTAACAGTGGTTATCTCTGGGTGTTGGGATTATATGCAATTTTTAAGAAGACTTTAAAACACAGGTGTGCGTATACACATATGTATATATGTATATAATACACATAACAATCTATTATAGAAAAAACATAGGTGAACATAAAAAAAATGAAATCCCCAATTATGGATGAATTTTATTTTCTTCATTATACTTCATGGTATTTAAAATTTTTTTAGGATGAAATGTTCTTAGACAATAAGCTTATTTTTAAAAACGACACCTGTTGGAAAGCATAATTCTATATATTTAGCAAACACATATAAATAGCATTTACATTGCAGGCACTAGTATAAGTGGTTTACAAGAATTAATTTGATTAATCTTCATAAAACTCCCCATAGGAGTGAACTATTATCATTCCTATCTTATCAAGGGATAAACTGATGCAAATCACTTGCCCAGGGTCATGCAGTCAGCAAGAGGTCTAGGCAAGTTCTGAATGGGGGCAGTCAGGTTCTAGACCCTGCACACTTGACTGGATACTGCCTCTCCACAGCTATGGCCAAGTGGTATAGGATCTGTGGTATATGTATAGGTGGGTAGGCTATCCAGGCAACCAGAGAATGCTAGTTAGTGATGTTTTTTTTTCGTTTATGTGTCAATAATAAAAAACAGTATCTCATGTGAGCCTAGATTTCCTTTATTATAAAAATGAGCTCCTACTATATTCACTGTGCTGTTCTAGGTATGGGAATGGTGGGTACCACCCACCAAGAAAACGGCCCCCTCTCAGGAGCTTGCCTTGTGTTTGTAAACACTAGCACCTGCCCTCAGCTGCACACTGTCTGCTCCTTTCTAAGGAAAGTCTGTTCAACTGACCCTCACCTCTCTACCAGGAGCAGGCATGATCTGATTAAAGAAAAATCCCCAAACATGTCTTAGGACCTTTCTGCGGCTAGGAGAGGAGTTCACCACAGAGGGACTGCTTCAGGAGGTTCTAAGGTCCCAGACACAGCACAGATGTGGCAGATGCTCCATGAATACTTGATGAGCTAAATGGAGGAAGTGGAGAAACCTGCAGCCGTCCCCCGAGAACGGGGACACAAAGCAGACATGCAGATGTGGGGAGCAGAGGAATGAGTGTGGACAGAGTCGTGCTGATGACCTGCAAAGGCCCACAACAGCCTGCAAGGATCAGTGCAATCAGCCATGTGCACTGGATTACTTTCCTGCAGGTCAGCTGCTCCTGGGCTTCAAGTTCACGGTTACCTACTGTGTTTAACTGCTTTGGTGACAGAGGACCTCAGGTTTCTTTAGCCCAGCAGAAAGGGAAGAAAACGGCTATTAAGCCTTTGTTTTCTGGTATTAGGGAGGAGCAACCGGCTCTGATGGCAGAGCTCTTCGGGTAGACATTTGTGTCCTGAAGAGGCGGGTAGACATTTGTGTCCTGAAGAGGCAAGTCGGTCACTCCCTGCAGGAAGTGGAGAGCCGGGGAGAATGCAAAGGGCAGCCTGTGTGAGACAGCCTTTCTGCTGAGCCAGGCTCATCCACTCTGGGAAACGAAGGATTTCCTGGACGTCGAAGACACCCATAGCCAATGAAAACACATTTCAAAGGCAAGTGGAAACTGCTGCTTTTTGGTTTTCCTGCCTATTCATGATGACACTCTTCCATAGGAGGAGAAAAACAGCAGTTAAGTGGCTTTGGCAAGAATTGGTAGCAATTGATTTGGTTTGGTAAGACCCACCTTTCCTAACATTTTCTTCCAGAGGACTGGTGGCAGAAAGATTACTTTTGTGACCATCAAGCACAAAAGGCATGCTGCCTGTGCAGACACCCCCACCCGCCAGCAAATAGTGGCCACGTGAATGGGAGCCCAGGGAGGGTGACGGCTTCCTTTCTTAGGCTGGAAGCATTCTTTCAATGGGATTAAAACTGACACTTGCAGCCCGGATTTGGCCTTCCTTAATCAATGTCTTCAATGTCTATAACTACTTACAGGAAACACAAAGAAACAGAATACATACTTTCTGACCTTGAGGAATTTACAATCTAGTTGGAGAGATGTTTTTAAGATACATGACTTAAATCAGAATTCAAATCATCAAAGTAAGAGATGTCATAAAACGGTATATATAATTTGGTGTGGAGTGAATACTTTAGCCTACTGAGTATTATAGGTAAGCAGAGGGAAAGAAGTCCCAGGGGCTAGGATGGCCTGGAAGCTTCCTGAAGGAGGCATGATTAAGCTGAGCCTTAAAGTAGCGGGAGAGAAAGGTCCAGGCAAGAGCCAAGCGCAGAGGTGTAAATGACCTAACACAGGAGTGGACAAATCATGGCCTGTGGGCCACAACTGGCCCACCACCTGTCTTTAAACAGGCCATGAGCTAAGAATAGTTTTTATATTTTTTAATAGCTGAAAAAAGTAAGTAATATTTCATGACACATGAAAATAACATAAAATTCAAATTTCAGTGTCCATAAATGAAGTTTTATGGAAACACAGCCACACTCATTTATTTGCATATTGTCTATGGCCTCTTTGCACTAAAAGGCCAGTGCTGAAGAATTACAACAGAGATTACATTTTTACTCTGTAGCCCTTTAGAGGAAAGGCCTATCCTGGGCCTATAATACCAGAGGGGCAGCTAGTGGGCTCTCACTGAGGGGAGCTTTGGTCTGTAGGAAATTAGGTAATGATAGTGCCCGGGGATCCATTATAAAGGACATTTAACGCCAAGCTAAGGAATATGGGTTCAGTCCTATAGGCAATGGGTTGAAATTATCGTGTACATGAATATGGTTAGAGTACCTATATGTACATATACAAAATTACAAAAGGTTCAAAAGAAAATTCTGTAAATAGTATCAGTCTTCGACCTTGACCTCCAGGTACTCACACTCAGACATCTCCACAGAGGAAGCTGGGGACCCACTTCCTCATTTCCTTAACAGAGATATTCTTCCATGTGTACCAATACCTGTGAGTTTACATATTCCTTCATTAAAAAACCCACAAATGGTGGTATACTAAAAAAATACTGTTTCTGTACCATGCCTTTCAGTCTAGTATTTTGGAGGTTTTTTTTACATCAGGTCATTCTTCTTCGTGGGTGTATAATATGAATGTGCTATCTTATTTACCCAGTTTGGGGAGACTCCTGACCCAGAAGCTAAAATGATGTATTAGGAAGCTTTGTGGAACAGAGGGGTTCCAGGAGAACTAGAGCAGGATGAGCAGGCAGGCAGCGGATGCAAATCCAGGAGGCTGGCAGTGCGCATGGCCTGGCATTCCAGGGTCCCCCAGAATTCCAGGCTGCTCACGGCCACAGTGCTGGGGACCCACCTCTCCCCACCAGTCCCTGGGGGGCTCCTACCTTGGTGGGTGTGTCAGGGATGGAAGAGGTGGGCGAACCAGGGAAGCTCAAGACACACTTCTTCCCCAGGCAGCGACCGTGTAACTCAACGTCCTCATAAGGGTTTTCCTTCACTGGTGGGTCTGTAGCCAAAGGCAGCAGGTCAGGAACTGGGAACCTGAGGAAGTTTCCCTATTTGCCCCCTGCCCCACGTCGGCCTCTCCGTGTGGGGATGTCTGACGCTTTGCTGTCCGCTCATTCCCTTCCTCTTGGTAACAGACCCTGATTTCTATGGGGGTAACGTCCCGTCTCCCCATTCTCAAATGTGAGATTAACTCCACTCCCAGTTTTAGAGTTTAGCCAATTTGAGTACCTTGAATCCCTGCCTTAGTATTTAGATCTGGGGAGCGTTCTTATCCCAAGCTTCCGCTGCCCACTACACGCCATTCCTGGGCTCTGAAGGTGAACAAGGGACCTAAACCAGCCCCGTGAGAGCGAACCTTAGGATTTTGGCTGGGACCTGCAGGGCACAGGCTTTCCTTCCCCCCATGGAAGGTGTGGATTCCAGGGAGCTGATTGACGGCAATCATCAGGGGATCCTGGAAACCCTGCTGAGAATGGGCCTAATCTGAGAGCTAAGAAACATGGGAGAAAAAGCCAGTTCTGGTCACATGAGCAACAAACACCCTTTGTTGTTTCAGCTGGGGTTTCTGTTCCTTGTGCCTGAAAGGTACACACCACTAGGAGTCCAGATCTCGTTCCCACTTTGGATGTGGGAAGCCCCCTGCTTTGGCAGGAGCCTCTCCAGCAGCTTAGATGCTGCCGTTCAAATAATCTGTGGTCAAGTCGTAGCTCAGCTAAGTACATGCCCTTCTGCAAGTCTTGGGTTTCCTCCTAGCATGGAGTGTTTTCTGTACGGCTGATCACGTGAATGTGTATGTGCCCTATCTGCCCCTTGCACGCGGTCACATGTGGATTTCTCCCCTCACTGCAACTCCCAGCCCCACCAAGCAGCTGCAGGCCTGAGCTCACACCTCACTGAAACTGGGATATTCCCGGAAGATGACTTAACTCTCCGGGTTTGAATACAAACTCTGAATCTGAGCCTTGCTTTGGAATCTGAACACATTCCTTTGAGCAAAGTCAAAGTTACTTTTTGAACAGCAGACATTCACTTTGGTCTGAGTTTGGACGCCCTGTTACTACCACACTCCTACAGTTTCAGAAAGAGGATGGTGGTCTTTAGTTCCTTTATCTAGTAAGCCCTACAATTTACTGAGCACCTGTGATAAGCCAGGCGCTCTACATACTATTTCCTCCAGTCCCCAAACAATCCTGCAAGGTAGCTACCATCATCCTCATACAGAAAAGAGGACATGAGTTCGGAGAAGGTAGTCACCAGCTCAGTGTCCTACCGCAAATCAGCAGCAGAGCCAAGCTTCTGTCATGGATATTGAGCCTCCAGGTCTCAAGTGTTTCCGGTCACATCCTGCAGCTCTGTGCCTTCATCGCCAGGCTTTGCTCTCCCCTCCAGCCCGATTTTCTCTCCCAGATCCCTCTGCCACCTGCTCTCTCCTTCACTGGAGGACATGTATGTCTTCGAGTGAGTGAGTGTGTGTGTGTTTCAGGCAGCCAGCCCCACGTCCCCTCTCCCCTTTCTCCCAGACAGACTTATACCCACACACTCCGGCCTCTTACCTAGAATGTCTTCATAGACGTTTTCCTCCGATAAAGTGCGTGTGAGCCCCAACTTCGTCTGCGCGTACCAGTCCACCCTGCTGTTCTCAGAGGAAGACTGCAGTAGGTCTTCAAACTCATAGGACTTTCTGGTTTGTACAAGATGGAAGGTAAAAAAACAAGAACTTGAATCAAATTAGGCTAGTTCAAAGAATATATACCCCCAATTTTTTCCTTGCAAAAATTTCTCTTACTGAAATCAACTCTTTTTTTGTAACAGGTGTGATGATCCTCACATAAGAGATACAGCTTTTACTTGAAAGAATGTTGATGCTATCAGGCCAAGTAGAGCTAGTAAAGCATATCTATAAAATACAATCCCACCTTTGTAAGCAAGCATATATATAGAAAATAAAAAGGGAAGGCAGTGAAACATATAGCTGCTTTCTCAGGACTGAGGAATGGCTCATGGTTTCTCTTCACTTTTGCTTTGCTAGACTTTTCAAATGTTTCATAATGTGTACAGCACACACATTAATAATTCAAAAGGAGCACTGAGGGATTGGCCAGTTCTGTGGGGACCGGAGGCCTGGGCACCTCCCCGTTCCTCTCAGTCAGGTGGTTACTCTCGGAGCGGAGCTGGAGGCCAGCTGAGGTGCCCTCAGGATCTGTGCCATGGGGCTGGGCTCTGTCTGCGGCTTGGCTCACTCCGTGGCTTTCTGTCACCCTCACCCCACCCTACATCCACCAGCCCCGTTCTGCTGGTGTTGATCCCAATGCAAAATCCACGCCCTTCTCCAACTGTCACACACACACAGCTGCTCACCTTGAATTTTTGTGATTTTGGTAAGATAACTGGACCTCTGGGAGGTCATGAGGTGGGTCATACTGTGCAACATACAGAACATCAGCCCCCTCACAATAAACCCGCCCCCTTTGCGTCTCTGTCCCTGTCTTTTTCTAAAGGGGCCGCAACTCCCACAGCAGGAGCCGAGCAGCCCTGCCCCTCAGGCTCTGGAGGCGCACCTTCCAAGCCGGCAGATTTGTCAGGAATTCCTGCCAAGCACACTTGAGGCTTCTGTGAGTGGGATTTAGGTGAGCGTGGGTCCATCCGCACTGAACAGGGCACATCCGGCGGCCTTGGTCCTGACGCTTCGCGCCTCCTCGTGCAGGATGGTCGCAACCCTCCCATTGCTCAGGAAGCCGCAATCCTCACCCATACTTCCCCTCCTCTCCCTCCGGCCCCCAGGATTAAGGATCAAACAAGACACTCTAGGGTTCACCAAAACTCAATACCGACCCCGGCTCCTTCACTCACAAGTCTTTTAACCTTAGATGAACCACTTAACTGGGCTGAAACTCATTGTCCTGTTTTGTAAAATCATGATTACCTCAGATTGTCCAAAGAATGGAAAAGATAATGTCTGTATAGTCCTTAGTACCTAACAAGCAGTCAACAAATGTCAGCCATTACTATTACTGCTGCTGTGCTATTATTTATGCAGCAAATATTTTATGTTGAACCTTTACTAAGGGGAGGCACTGTGCTCAGTTCAGGAAATAAGGAGTAACTAAACCAGTTATGGTGCCCACCTCAAATAACTCATACTCCAGGGTGGGGGACAGGTGTTCAGCCAGGGCACGCACAGATAAATGCAATTATAACTGTGTTACATCCAATGATGGAAAAGAACAGGCTGCCGCAAGGGAGAATGCCAAAGAGGACTCAACTTAGGTTGGGGGGTGAGCCAGGGAAGGCCTCGCCAAGAAAGTCACCCATTAAAGCTGAGACCTGACATTTCATCCTGAGACCAGGATGAAAACACCTGAGCGCAGGGAAGAGCATTCCAAGGTGGAAGGGTATGTGAGGGACCTGCAGCCACAAAGAACTTGGTGCAACTGTGGAAAGGACAGACAGACATTCAGCGAGGCTGAACTGCAGGGAACAAGGGTGGTGAGTGCTGTGCAGGGCAGTGGTGGAACCAGGCAGAGGACACTGGCCTGCTCTCCAAGCTTTGGGGATTTCTTGCCTTTAAATCTTTCTCTCTGCACCAGCCCCTTTCCCTCTTTCTTTAATCAAGCACAGGATTCCTCTATTTTGAAAACCTTTCATTTGAAGCAACAACCCTTGTGGTTCTGTTATTTCTTATCTTCCTTGCCAACATTTTAAAACTGGGGGGCAGGGTAGAGCAGAGACTATTCTGACTGTCCATTAGTCCACCTGAGTTCTCCAGGTTTTCTTTCCTCCATCTTCTCAACCTGGTGTCTGCATGCATCCCTTTTCTGAAACTGTCCCCTAAAGGTCACTAGTGAGTTTCTGATAAAACCTATCCACTTTCTTGGTCCTTTCTTTACACGACACCACTGTTTCTATGGTGTCAGACAACAGCGCTCCCAGTGCAATCGGCGGGCCAGGGCAGGCATGCTGATGAGGCCAGTGCAGAAACTGAGAGCAGGCGTTTACAAACAGTTAAAGCAAGGGGACAGAATACATTTAAAAAGAAACAAACTGTGGCTTGTATACTGTCTTTTCTCATTTCATTTCTCTGGTAATTCCTCCTACTATATTTGACAAAAGTTTTTTTTGTTTTTTTGTTTTTTTGCAAGAGATTGGATACACCTGCACACAGGCCCTCCTGGTGGTGTGAGGAGCCTGGTGCCAGGTGGCCCTAACTGGATCCCTTCAGACAGCCCCTCCTGGGCCTTTGCTGGCAGCTTCCTTCCCTTTTGATTCCTTTTTCTGGGCTATAGGCATTTCCCAAGCCCAGAAGTTTTCCCAAAGTGTATGGGCTCTAAACTTTAATATGTCCACAACTGAGTTCATCACCCCTTATCTCCACCCCACGCCCCTTGCTTTATGAACTTGGCAGTCTGGGCAGGAGCACAAAGGGCTGAACCAACAGCTTCCAAGCTGGGCCTCTATGGCCTTAAGTCAAACTACGAGGCTGAAAGTCAATCATGATCCCAGGTGCCTGACTTACTGACAGAAGCTCATGCCTAAGAGAAGGGCCTACCAATCCATGAGCCCTCTCCGCCTCCTCTTGAGGTGTCCACCCAGGGGAGGAAGGACTGAGCTTCAGAGCCTGCAGGAGATGGGGTCTGGAGGGTGGGAAGCGGGTCTGGGCTGCTTTCTCCAGGATGGAAACGGCTGTGCTGTGAGCCCACCCTGGGCATTTCCTAGTCCAGGTTGCCATTAGCCAGGCAGCTGCTTGGGGACTAAGGTGAGTGGTCTGTGGCCCAGAGCAGCGTGAAGTTACTGGCCTGGCATGGGCCATGACTCCTTGTGCCCCCTGGCAAGCTAGCCAGATTCCATTAGCTAGAGTCCTCAGTATGCACACCACCTAGATTTCACTGGAAGGACACAAACTGTCCAAAGAGACCGCTGAATCCTCCATTCAACATTCACTGAGTACTGACTAAGTGCTTGTGAGACAGGGCAGGGATGTGGGACAAACATCATGATTAACTTTTCCTGCCTATGATGAAAAATGCCAAGACATAAACAGTAATAGTAAGAACAGGAGGGACTCCATTTTAAGGCTAAGATTCCATCTTAAAAACCAGGGAGTTAGGAGGTAAGATTCCTAACACATTCTTTGGTAACACACCAACCGACTATCTTAGGGCAGGGCAAGCAATCCTAACTGATATGTTCCCAGTGCTTGAGAGTAACTGCCATCTTGGAGAAGAATGGGATCAAGAAATTCCTTGTGTTAAGTTTATCTTACAGAGTATCTAGAGGACTGACTGTGGATGGTGACATAATGTCTCTCACTGGAGAGACATCATGAGACCACATGTGAAGCTTATGCTCCCCCTCTCCGCTCTTTGCCCCATTCTTGAAAGCCTTAAAAGACAGAATCCTAAGCCTTGGAGCACACCTCCTCTCTAAGGCTGACGGCACTCCCATGTTTTTCAGTGGGTACTTTTTGCTTTAAAAAAATATTTCTCACTGTTCAACTTACTGTGTTTTGTCTCTGTGCTCTTCCAGTGTAAGTGTCTTTGTTACTTTGCTATTTCATTCTGTTTCCTAGACGTAAGCACAAGTCGTCTCTGTTCTACTTCAGACAAGTGGGGAAGGGCTACTAAGAGCTCTGATCTGGCTTGCAAGTTCCCGTCACCTGGGCGGCCAGGACAGGACTGCAGCCCTGAGACCGTGCTCTTTAGCGGCCTGCCCGAAAACCTCCTTTCTTTGCTTTGGGAGGTTCTCAGAACATAATCTCCCTCCCTCCAGTGCTCTGTGGCTCCCCCAAATCCTGGGGTGGTGGGGGCTTAGTCCCCACACCATGCAGATTCAAGCGGACACCGGATGCCAGGTGACCCGGGCTGTAGGAGTTGGCGAGGATTTGCCCAGTGCCGAGCAGAAGTTCAAAGGGCTTCCCTTCCTCCTTGTGTTCTTTGCTCTCTGCTGCCTGCGCACCTGCTGACATTTGCTTCTACTCTTGCTTTCATGAATTCCTTCCTTACCTACACTTGTCTGACCTGTTCGAGAATTCTTTCTCATTCAGAGTCAAGAACCCTCCCTGGTCCAGGCTGAAGTTTCACCCAGTGCACAGGGAGAGCCCTCCCCAGACACAGCTGCCCAACAACACTCAGATTAGCACATTCAAACTTGGCAACAACCTTGGGAAGAATGACTATTATACATATTTTATATGTGAGAAAATAAGAGTCATAGAGAAGATAGACAAATTGCTCAAGGTCACATTGGGAGAAAGTGGTGGAGTCAGGGTGAGAGCCAGGAAGCCTGGCTGGAGAACACTACTACCCAGGCATTAAGCAGAGCCGGCGAGTGAGGTAGCACAGGGAGAAAGCTACAGTCGGAGTCCCCAAAGTAAAACAGGCTGCATTTCCAATTTGTTGTTAGGGACTTGAACTCATTTTCCACACCAAACCATACCACATATTACTGTGCATGACCCAGGTAAGCCCTCTATTGCCCTCATAATGTAACTAAATGATGCGACAGGTGGGGGGTTGCTGCCCTAGGAGCTGAGCAGTTTCTCCCCAATGTCAGGAAGCCCCTCTCCTGGCAGCTGAGGGACATGACGGTGGCTGAGGACATAGGCCAAGCCTCAACTACGTGGGATTCAAGCGTGACCCTGGCTAAGCTTGGCCTTTTCTTTGATTTCAGAAAGGGGCTACAACT